CACACACACACACACACACACACACACACACACACACACAAACACACACTTTCGCAAGTAAAGCGATATCCTCTCTTTAATCCCCCTCCCCCCTTTTCCCTTTAAGTGTAAGTTTAGCCCACCCTCATTGCAGATTATGCACTACTCTGTTGGCTTTGTCTTTCTGCTTCGTTTCATTCCCAGGTCTCTAGTGTATGGCCGTTTACACTGTTCACTATAATCTCTGCTTCTTGTCTGTGTTTCTATTGCTCTACCATATTATGTAAGTATCTCCATGGCGAAATGTGACTGTCATTGTGGCATGGCGCAGATTCGTTAGATCTTCAAATCACAACACTACAACAATACTGCCGTACTCTGACAAAACGCCTATTTTTTCTTCACTGCAGTTTTCAGAAATCAGCGATTTTCGGTTTTCTTATAATATCTGTCGAGTACAGGGCATGAATCACATTTATTCTCTTCAGGGTGCGCGATCAACCGTTCATGTACTGGGCAAAACAGTTCAAATATTATAAGAAAAACAAAAAAATCCACTGATTTCTCGAAACTGCTGTGAACAAGCAAAAGGCTTTTCGTCAAAGTACGGCAGAATAGCCAAAACCTGTGACATTAACTTACCATCTGGCGTGCAGTCAGTTCCGGGCAGTCTACGGCCTGTGTGACTGTGTCAGCCAGGGACTGGTCTGCAAACACGGCAGTGGCGCCAGAATCAATCAGCTGATGTCTCAGTTCAGCTGTGGATAGTCACAAAAAAGACGAACCAAGATGTGAGGATGATATTGAGAACAATAGTAGCGACCTAATGTTTCAAGAACAGACGAAAAGAACAAAAGATGTGGAGCAGGCTTTATATTGGAGTCCGCTGAAACCGTTGTCTACTGGACTGCGATATTTCTTCGATTTAGCAGTTTTTGGGGGGTTTACAGAGATTGCTTAACACAGAAGAAAACAAATCGGGGATTCTGTTAATTTCTGTTGGTTTGCTTCTTTTCTTGTGATTAAAAGTTGACCATTTAGGTAGACTCCATCGACTTTTCCTCAAACCACAACGAAACCCTAACAAGTCAATTATAAAGATATAAGATCACAAGTGGGTCATTGGCCATTGAAATTGCGTAAGTTTAACGTCCGTTTCTGCACTGTAAGTTTATCTTCTTGGGGGG